AAAACTTTGTTGTGTTGTACTTTATTTTTGTCCAAAGTTCATTATTTCCTATTTTTTAATCAAAATTGTTATAATTTAATTTTAAATAAATTATTGAAAGTTATATAATGAAATTAGGTCTTATTGATATAATTACTACAGCAAATATTCTATTCTATGTGTATACCAAATACTATTTAATTTGGTTTGAATATGCAAGAAAATACAATTATCCAACTATTAGAGCAAATAATTTGATTAGATACAGACAATTGAATTTAAATTACCCTAAAGTTAACTTTAAGCTTCGTTGCATCGAAGACAATAATCTTCATCAGTTATATACAATAACCAAATGCATTTACCTGAAACAATGAATTATAAATAACGAACCGGCATGAATTATGCAATAGGATGAACCGAAAATATCGCCAGGCGAAGTAGAATTTTGTGTAATTAGCATTATTAAAGGATTCAAACTGGATACCTCAAAGGACGAGTTGCTCCGGACATTAACACGAGGATTTCGTACTTTTGTCAGGTCCGAAACAATGGCCATTGTGTTCGGTTCGGCGTTCCGTAATCCGTCGGCGTTTATAAATAACAAATAGTTGCTCAACGGTTTTGTTTATGGGAATATCGCACGTCCATAACAACAAACAGCAACAGAAAATGGAAGCAAATGGACCAAAATACTCTGGACGCAAATTGTATTTTATGATTTGCAAACCGTACAGTTGGAAATGAATGATTCGCAAAGCATTAATCTTATTTTGGGTGTTTTTTTCTTTGGTTCAACAGTCACAAACACTAAAATCGTGTTTATTCAACGGACCGTGTATGAAGATAATTTCTTATTCACGTCATTTCTCTGATATACACTATTTTTATATGAAATCATCACTTGTGACCATTTATAAATGATATAAATCAATATATACGAATACGTTAAGCGTTGTACTAAATCGTGTTACATGAGAAATTTTCCCGTGTAACACGAGATTCGCGTTGTATAAAATGTTGTCTAAATATTTTTAGCGCGTTCTGAGAATTCGCGTTATACGAGAGTCTATTATACAATGATCTGTACCTATTGAATTACACCTATATCTCGTTTTGCACGATAGATAGGTTCCTGAGGAAAACGTGTAAATTGATTGATAATATCATTTCTTAAGTTCATATACTTTTTAAACGGTGTTAAAACGAAAACATAAATAAATTACCAAACGGTACGGTAATTAACAGTGTAAAATGAAACCGTGTTAATCTAGGAATAGATGTATATAAGAAATTAGAAACGTATACTTTAAGTTATATAAATATGAAATTATATATTACAAAATGTCCTGAATGTAGTTTGTAAAGGGTCAAGGATGAGTCGATACAAACAGAGATGTATCCTCCATTCAGGTTTTGTGATGAGGATTGGTATTGACGGTAGTTATTAGTATCCTGCGACGTCTGCAAAACTTGATTAATATCATACCCGGCTATGACTAAAACGTGATATTACACGTGTTTTGGTGTCCAAAACTTTCATCATTAGCACCAAACCAATTGTTTAGTAGCCATTTCAGTCGACTCGTATTAATTAAATACAACGCTATTCCCACATTAATTAAGGTGTCTCAGCAACAATTCGTTCACATCGAGAATCCGCATAGTGCGGATAATTGTTTCTATTTGAAACCGTACTAATCGAGAACTTTAAAACTGCAACAGAACAAACATAAACTTATTATTTATATGTTTTGTATTAATTTTTTATTTTTAAAATTAACTTTTGGTTTGTTTTGAAATTTTCATTGTAGAATTCGCACTGTGCGAAGCCGCACTATACTGGATATAAAGAGGTGATTTTATTTTCTTAAATAGACAAATGTTGTAAATAATTCAGTTTGACTGTAGTTTATCGTTTAGAAAAAAGGAGAAGGATAAAAAAAAGTGTGCGAAAGTTCAGCAGACCGAAAGGACTAAATCTCTGCGGAATAAGGTGAGTGCTAAGGACAGTTTTTTGTTTGTTGGGACGATGCTCTATTTTTATAGATTTATACATTTAGTTTTCATTTTTTTCTCATAATGTTGTATTTATTTGAGGATCAACATCACTTTTCTAACAAAACAACAATTTTTTGTGTTCTTTTTATAATATTTTATGAAAATTATTAACTATAAACTTAACTTTATAAATCAAAATGTTTATGCTTGTTTTTCAAACTGAACTACAGTTTTTGGTGATTTTTATTTCATTTGAAGATAATTTCTAAACGTGACGATATTACAATAAATGCTTATGGTTATATCTAGAAGTAAACTAGAATTTTTATGTTAACTGTGATTATTATTTGCCCAACAATAAGAATAGGAAGCAAGTGCATACGAATTGTACAACGTTATTGAACATTTGCCTGAAAACGAACAATTTGTATGCGAGTGAAAATTGAAGTTTACAGGAAAACACGCAATGTTTGCAACGAAACTAAATAACACAATCTCCCGTTACCTTGACCTACCAGATTTCATCAAATCCCGTATTCGAAAATACCGGAAAATTTCAATTCAATGTCAAATTATGATATGATGAATTATGAATGATAAAAATTTTATTTAATAAATTAATTTATTTTGATTAATTTTTATATAGTTTAAAAACAAAAGGAAATTTAAAATTGCTAAATTTATGTACATTTACTCAATATTATTGATTACTCTATAAATAACCAAGTTATCAGTGTTATCAATAGAATCAGTCCTTGTATAATCTCTATATATAAATATTACTTAATAAACATACAAATAATTTTTTCAGACTGTTTATTTTATTTATAAATAATAAATTTTGTTCTTTTATTTCCAACATATTAAATGTATTGGTGTATTATCAATATATAATGAATAATTACAGAATGTGATGTGCATTTAACGAAGAACTTGCGTTGTTTGTTTGCGTTTGTTTCATCTCAATATTTCATAAAGTGCTGAAATGCAAGGGGCGAAGTTTCCTGATTAATAATTTATGTCTGGTGAAAAGTTTCAATCAGAATCAATATCGAAGTTATAAATTCTCAGCGGATCGCGGCGATACGAGATAATCGTTTTCTGGCAATATTTTACACGTAGCAGAAACCCAATTTCGGTTCAATTATTTTAGAGCAGTTTCCCGTACAGAATTTCAAAAGTATAATATAATTGCATTTTTCTATAGATTACAAAAAATTTGATACTTTTCAAGTTGTTTGAAGAAATACTGAGAAGTAAACAAGGTTATATAATATACGTAATGTAAATATAGAATTTTCTATTATAAAATTTGGTACTTGTCAAGTTATATTTATTATACAATTAAATAATAAATGTATAAACAATTAAAAAATAATATGAAACTTGATTATATGAAACTTATACTCGACAAGTAACTTGAAGAACTACTTGTGCCATACTTTCTTGATTAATTTATATTTGTAAAATAAACAAATTATCGGGTTATCCAATAGCAGTTGTTTGTTATAAAAATGATACTTGTCAAGTACTTTTGGTCGAAATAATGTAAAAATAAAAAAAATATATTTTTTTAATTTGAAATTGGATGTTATTGAACCACAAGCAAAAAATGTTGGAAAATATTTAAATTTTTCGAATTCATTTAAAATTTTCGATATGGCCGACTTTAGTGCGAACTATGGCTCTGAGTTGGTCAACAAGCAAGTCGCACGCTGCACGATAGTGAACCTGTAGAATCTTCCTCCATTCACGAAGAAGGGATTTCTTGAGCACATCAATACTCTGGTATTTTTCACCGTGGTCACCGTGGAGGCCACTGTGTGGTCGAAATGAAGTTTGGAGCGTTTTCTCTCAGCCATTCTTGGTTTTGTGTGATGGTGCAGAATCTTCTTGAAACGTCCACTCTTTCTGATTGAAATGTTTGGTTACCCACGGTTTCAGAACAACTTCCACAACTTATTTGTGATAGACATTAGCATTAATTTTGACACTACGGTCCAAAAACATCAACGGAGAGCGACTATCGACCGTCACAGCCTCCCAAACTACCACAAACAGTGGAACTTGACTTCTTGTGGCCATTCCAATGTCTAAATTTTTGTTTGACATTTCTTCTAAGCAAATTCGATCATTTTGTTTGTTTACAAATTTCTCAATTGGCAATTTTTTCTAATCAGACAAAACAATATTTGGCAATTGGCCACGTTCGTACAAGCGTAACAGCTACTTCGTATTGAGCCTAGTTCTTTTTTTTAAACATCGTTGAGATCTTATCCTTTTTGGAACATGTAAGGCTTCAGTTTGAGTTCGTTTTCGAGTATACGTTCGATTTTTATTTTCGATATTTTTATTCGATATTTTATTCAATTTGAGCCTAAACTTTCTGAACCACTTCGGTTGTTGGTTTTTCGAATCGAACCAACGACCTTTCATATCAGATTGATAAAGGGGTTACATTACGTTATAGTCCTGTATTTTTAATTAACGTGCGCTATCTATTGGACAAAGTTGTAAAGTGCTTTGACATTCCAATTTGACAGAAACAATTGCCTCGCTATTTTAATGACATTGCAAAGCTGCAAAGAGAATAAACTCAAAGAGGACTTCCTGTTGACCTATTATGTCATTCGCAGAACGAACGTGCAATTAAAATAAAGAACAACAAAAGTGTAAATTAAAGGGTTGAGACCAAAGAAAGAAAGAGAGAAACTCGTCGTTTCAAGGAACTCCCTCGGGACACGGAGGGACAAGTCGTTAACAATTGAACTTGCACATGCATAAGAGTGGGTCAGGGGATTTCCATAAAAATCATTTCCTCAAATCTCTTTCCCATTTTTCATCTTACCAATTTGTCACCGCCGGAGATTTATGCGAGTCCCCCCTTAATAATTTCCGGATTTTATACCGGAAAAGGAAGCGAAAAAAAAAAGGAAGATATGGGAGTGAATGGGTGAAGGAAAGAAGATCCGGTGCAATAAATGTAGAACGCAAAGTGGTCGAAGGAAACCTTTTTATTCAATTCTTGCATACTACGAATGCGTTTTGTACATATGGAGATGGGTCACCAATCCGCTCTGCGTCCGGCGGTGGTGTTGCATAAAATATTCATTCGACATCGTACGATTCTAATTGTGGTTTAATTTACTTCAGTGGTTCCGTGTACGGGGAATCCACGGGCGGAGCTGGATTTATCCTTGGTATAACTATGTTTATTGTTTCCGTTATACTATTATTCTCCGATGGATAATTTCCTGAAACTAAATTCATACATGTAATTTTTTTCATTAAATATAATGATAATATAAAGTTGCCTCCATACTCTACATTACAAACAACTTGAATATCTATCAAACGTCAATGTCAAAATGTCAAAAATATTCAGTAAATTTCAATAAACTTCATAGTCATCTGTCATTTAGTTATGTCATATTTTACGTCATAGTGTATTTCAAAGTAACATATCTGTCAAACGTGAAATTGTTCAGTAAATGTCAATAATATCTTCATAGTGGTTTGGCAAATAATTATGTCATAGTGTGTACACTTCCATTATAGCAAAACTAACAAAATAAGAAAGTTTCTAAAAATGTAAACAAAATTGAGTTAAAATTATTGATTATGCAATGTTATTTATTCATGCATTTTATTGAATGAGCTTTAAGAAACTTCACCCTCACTTTCTTCCAATATATCCAATTATATTTAGGAAAACAAAGCAAAGTAGGAACTTCCGGTTGTCTTCAAGCAACAGCACGAACAACAACAACAGTAGAGGAGACTTACGAACTTCATCTAAAGTTTCGTAATCGAACTCTCGGACCCTAAACTTTCCTCTTCTAGTCAAGGAATACAAATCGACTTCATTTTCATAATTACCAAACCCAATTACTGATTGATTTTACTTTATACTCAATTATTTCTTAATAATTATCTTACCTTAATAGATAAAAGTAACACATTTAAATGAACAGAGTAGAAGTTTGACCATTTGAACATATTTTTTTTAATTGGTTTAAAATTTTTAAGTAAGTAAAAGTGAATCTATTAGTAATGAAATAAATGATACAAGCTAAATACTTACGTCTATTTCGGATGCATTTTTCTAGAACTATAATGGGAGATTCGAAGGTCAAACTTAGGGCAACTGCTAAGAAGAAGGTGATAGCAAAGTTAGACCAAAATTCCAACATCTGAAAAGTATAAAAAAAATAATTGCAAAGAAGTTTAAAACTTACATTTTTGATTCAAATTAGGACAAATGAAAATGTTTAAATTCAATATAGAAATAAATTAAAATTTGATTATCAGACTTACAAGTGCACCATCTGAAAACCTGATTGCAGTACGTTGGGATAACACAAATATCGAAAGTAAAGTGTAATGGATTAAGTACATGCTATAAGTTAATCTACTCATAACTTGGAAGATCGGCATGGACAAGAACTTATTAATAAGACCTATAAATAAAATCGGTAATTAATCAGGGTTATGAAAACTTAAATTTTCATTTGTACCTCCATTATCAGTTACACAAGAGAAGACTACCCACGAAAGGGCTACAGCCCAAGAGGGTCTCACAAAAGTTAGGTAAGAAGCATGTAGATACTTCTGATAGTCCTCAGCGTTCAGCAAATCCGTTCCTGCGAATGTGCACGCGAAGAGTACTGTGAGCGAAGCTAACCATAAAACCACATTTAATATCTACAAAATAATAGAAGTTTTACTTTGATCATATGATAAATTAAAGTAAACATATGTAAGATTAGATATTGCGTTTTTCACACCTTATTGATCTTGAAGTTGCCGCCAGGACGTTTGCAAAGGTATATGAAGTAACCGACGATCATTCCTATCAGATACGGTGGAGCCCTCGTGTGAGTGGTTACGTAATACTTGGTGAGGGTATTCATGTTTCTGCAATTGTTGCATTGAAGTTAATGTATTTGGATTATGTTTCAGATCTTACCCTATCTGTTCAAGGCCTCTGAGATTGTAGTAACAGGCGATGTAGAAGGTTCCACCCATGCTTATGGCTGTCAGCAAAACCAATCCGCTCAATACGTATTTGGGGAATTTTTTCAATGGTATGAGTATTATTGGGGATAATATGAAGAGTTGCATGTCTACAGATAGGTACCAACTTTGTCCAATACACTAAATGAATAAATAGAAAATAATACATATTATAGTAATTTGTTAGCGATTTCATTATTGTTGCTAATTATACAACAACAAAAAACAAAATAATTAAATTCACAAAAAAATTATTAAAAGTAAGTTTAGTAATAAAAATTCAAAAATAATTTGTCAAAAAATTTCATAAGAAAAAAGAATACAATTAGAAATTAATGAAAATTAATGCATACAAAAAAATATCAATATAATTAGTAAAAATTAATTTAGAAAAGAGTAAATAAAAAATTAATTTATTTTTTTATATACAAAATTGTGAGAAGAATTTTAAGAAAAAAATATCAGTAATAATTAAAAAAGCAGTAAAATAATTGGAATTACAAAATTTTATAAAATACACAATTAAATGTTATTAAAAATAATCTGAACTCACCTCTCTATCTGAATTTACGTAATTTTGTACATAAAGTAAAACTGACCACCAATATTCGTTGCAGAATTGGATCATGTAAGGATAACTTCTTGGCCAAAAAGGACCATTTCCCATGTGTTTTAATAACGTCACATGAATGAGTAATAAAGCAGCTAATGCTGGAGTTAATCTAAAAGAAAAGATATATAATTACATACAATTAATATACAATTTTTGTCAGTAATTTCTAAACAAAATTATTGTTTCTATTTGCATTAATTCAAGTAATTTAATTATATTATATAAATGCATAAAATAGTAAATAATCTATTGTATTTTGTATGTAATATATTTTTCTTTCATACTAAATTAGTGTAATTTTTTAAAGTCATAATTAATTAACAATAATTACCTGACATATCTGTGGATGTACATTGATAAAGTTGATAGAAAAACGTTTCCTTGAATTTTGGTTCGCATATAGACGTAAACAAGAACAATTCCACTGAGAAGGAAGAAAGTATCGACAGCTACAGTAGCTCCGACAATCATCATACTTGAAGTGAGTTTGAACCACTGAAAACGAAATTTAAAATTTTAAAAATGATCACAAAAATTCCCAAAATAAAAATGCAAAATTTTATTACCGAATCAACGTATCTCATATTAGTAATACCACCGAGAAGCTTAGTGTTATAACCGTGTCCCAATATAACCCACATCATGCTCAAAGTTCTAATACCATTCAAACAGCTCAGATGATCATTTCTGTTTCCTGTAATCGTGAACAGTTTTCTACCATTCGTCCAAAGTGAAAACGTCAGTAGGAATTCTGAATAAGGTACTGAGAATACAAAAAAAATATATAATTACGTAATAATCAATTGATTATTGGCACTTACGTAAATCGGTATAATCCAAGAACATGTCGTAAAAAGTGGAGCATAAAGCTATAAAAAGTATAACGACGAAAAACACTCTGAAATTAATCAATTATTATTAAAAAAAAAATTGTTAGTTTATATATTTTTGTTTACATAACAGTGATGTCTCCAGCCGTGTATTCTGGCGCTCCGTCTTTCGTTTGGCAATATTCATCGGTGAAAGCCGGATTTTCTATGTCTTCAATGTTGTTCTTGATGAATTCGTTGAGATCAGAGGTGGTGCATTTGTCTGGAACGCAAATTGCGAATCGTACTGGAAATCCCTTAAAAAAACATGAATGTTAAACTTTTAATTCTTTGTTTGAAATATAAGACTGATTACTTTAAGTTTGACGTCGCCGAGACAGTATTTTCCATAGATCAGACCGAGGTTTGAGTTGTTCGCACCAATTCCTAAACACTCGTCGTAAGATCCTAAATCCTGCATGTTCCCTTCTATAATTCCTGGAGGTAGTTTGGACCAAGCGTCCACCACTTTGTTAAAAAGAAAGAATAAAATTAATATGATGAAAGGAAAGAACAATAATTTTGATTGATGAAATATTGAAATTTTATAAAATAAAGTATATTTTTTTTGTTGCAATATTGATTGCAAAAAAATAATGAACTATTGATAAAATACCTTTATTTAATTAATTAATTATTTATCTTAAATTTAATTACTTTTGAAAGTAGTAAAACTACTAACAAAGTAATATTTAATGCTTTTTTAAAGTGTTTATCGTAAAAATAAACAAAAACTCATTGATTTATATGAGGAATTGAAATATTGAAAAAATGCAAGTATTTTATTACAAATAATTTAGATTAAATTGATTTTATATTTAATTATTTACGAAAATAGTAAAAATCTAATAATACCGTAAAATTTAAGGCTTTTCTATAGTGATTAACGAATAAATGAAAACAAAAACTTTTGTGTTTCTTTTGAATGACTTTTAATTTTAACATTGAGAACAGTACGCTTTTCGTTATATTTAACTTTATTATTTCTGAAAAGGAAAGAACGCAACACAAGCTGTTAAAATGTTAAGCTTTGTGTATGGTGATGAAGCTCTAAAAGAAAGACGGAATTAGTTTTATAAATTTCGTTCTGGTGATTTTTCACTCAAAGATTAACTGGAAGTTGATTACGATCAAATCAAGGCCATAATTAATTCGGATCGTCAAATTCCGATAGATGGCAGAACGGTTAAATGATCATACACAAAAATTGAAAATTCTATAAAACATATGGGATTCGTTAAAAAAACTTGATATGGGGATTCCTCATGGAAATTTCTATGAGCGTGGAACGGAAAGATGTCAAAAGGTCATTGATCAAAATGGAAAATATATTATTGAATAAAGTTTAATAACTATAATGTTTGATTTCTATAAGAAAATAGGTAATTACTTTGTAATATATGAAAAAAAAAATCGAATCATTCATCGATTAAAGTTATGGATTATTGGGTATATTAATCTAGCAAAGAGATCAAATAAGCCATTTCAAAAAGGAAACTTTACTAAAAAGTGTTGATTTCTCAAATATTTGTAGAACTTTTCCGCAAATATTGTTTCATCACTTATATGAAAGTTACATAATAATGGAGGCAAAATATATGAAAATACTCAAATGCTTTTGATTCTGTTGTCGTTTTTGTAATTGATTATGTTACAAAAAAGTAATTTAAAATTATTGTGATTTCTTAAACTCAAGTTCATGCATGAAACTACATTTTACTTAATAGTTATCACGTATTACTCATATATTATATATAAAGTAATTATATTATGACTTTAATTACAATATTTTTATTTATAAATTTCGGTTCTGAATATAAATACATTGTAAAAGTGTGTATACACAACACAAAGTTTCTAAATTATGTCGCTATATGTAAGAATCATTGTGTAATGTTTTATTACTATGTTTATAAAGTATAATATTTTTATATTATTGTAGTTTTGTGAAATTTAAACATGAAATTTAAACAAATACAACAATTTTTTGTTGATAGAAAAGCTATAATAATGATAAATAATTAATTTAAATCTGAAAATATTTTGTTTAAAATAAAGGTGGGTTAACACGATTTCTTATTTATAAAATGTGAGTACACACTACGTGACATTTGTCAATTATGTCGTTATGTGTATGCTTCATTGTGTATCAATTATGTATACACAATACAAACTTTATAAATTAAGTTGTAATGTGTACGCATCATTGTGTAATGTTTTATTATTATTATGTTTACAAAGTATATTATTGTAATTTTGTATAATTTAAACATATTTATTGGTGACAATTTGGGATAAAATAAACAATTTTTTGTTGATAGAAAAAGGTATAATAATGATAAAAAATCAATTATTATCAATTTAAATCCGAAAATATTTGCTTTTAAATAAAGATGGGCAAACACGAATAATTATATCTAATATATGCATTGTAAAGGTAAGTACACATAACGTGACACTTGTCAATTATGTCGTTATGGGTATGCTTCATTGTGTAACAATTATGTATACACAACACAAACTTTGTAAATTATGTAGTAATATATACACATCATTGTGTAATATTTTATTATTATGTTTATAAAGTTAATTATTGAATTTTCTATAATTTTAACATATTTATTGGCAATAATTTGGGCCAAAGGAAACCATTTTTTGTTGCTAAAAAGGCTATAAGAATAATAAAAATAAATTATTTTGTATTTAAATATTAAAATATGTAGTTTTAAATAAAGGTGGGTAAACACTATTACTTATTTATAAAATATATGTATTGTCACCACGTGACACTTGTCATTTATATTGTAATGTGAATGCGTCATAGTGTAACAATTATGTATACACAAAACAAACTTTGTAAATTATGTCGTAATGTTTTACTATTATGTTTATAAAGTATATTATTGTAATTTTGTGTAATTTAAACATATTTATTGGCGAAAATTTGGGAACAATTTTGTCGTAGATAAAAAAGTTAAATAATGATGTAAATCAATTATTTTGAATTTGAATGTTAAATTATTATGTTTTAAATAGAGGTACGTAAACATGATTACTTATTTATAAAATGTTTACATTGTAAAGGTGAGTACACACTTGTCAATTATGTTGTAATATGTACGCATCATTGTGCAATGCTCTATTATTATGTTTATAAAGTGTTATATTTTATATTATTCTAGTTTTGTGTAATTTAAACATATTTATTGACAAAAATTTGGGCCAAAGGGAAATTTTTTGTTGTTGTTAAAAAAAAACTATAATAATAAAAAATCAATTATTTTGAATTTAAATGTTAAAATATTTTGTTTCAAATAAAGGTGGGTAAACACGATTTCTTATTTATTAAATATATGCTTTGTAAAGGTTGTGTGATTCGTTGTGTAACAATTATGTTTACATTAAAATATAATAAAAAAAAATGTATTGATTATGTCTATCTAAACTAGCAAATCTAGAGTGTATCTCGAAATACTACAAAAGTACTGTACAAATAACAAACTAATAATGTTCGAACACTCACTTTTCACAGCCCATAATCTGTTCTTTTCGAATGCTGAATACACCATCTCGCAGAGGTACTCGTTGCACGTCGGTGCATTCGGATCCTTCGCTACGCATTCCTGCATTGCCAAAGGTTTGAAGACAACATCTAAGGATGCTGCAGCAGTCGCACAGAGAAACAAAAGTCTTAACCACATTATTCGACGGCGGCACAAGCCAAACTGAGCCGATAAACGGATCCAATCAGTTTGATAAATTTTATTCAATTGGGACTCGTTATATCATATTACGAAAAAAAAAATAGATTATCGTTATCATTTACTAGTTTTTCGTCCGTTGTTGTTGCATGCACTATCATCGCCGATTATTAACTATGCCTAAAAAATGTATCTGTATATACTGTATACGATGACGTAGTTGATCGTGACTCACATCATCTTTGTTACTTGATTTACTAGAATTACAGTGGTCCTCTTCCGTTTCAAAGACACAATTAACTAACTCTTTGGAATGGAGGAAATAAAGAATTTCCGAGACTCGAAATTTCGACCTAAATACATTTATTTGTTTTTTTTTTCGTTTATATAATGAAATAAATAAATAAAAAATACTTTAATTGTTTAATATGAATAAATGTATACAATTTGTAACAATTCACAATAAAAAGGGCAATAACCGAACTACAGTGTGATTCATGTAATTATATAATTGTTACAACAAATATTATTTTTATTTAAAAGTTTCCCAAACTTTTCATTTAAAATATGAAAAAGAAACATTTATTATATATTTTACAAGTTTTTACGGAACTTTCTACACCAGTATTCCGCAGAACATAGTTTGGGAAACCCTGATTTATGCAGTGAAAACGATCAATAAATTATTTTTTAGTTAATCAATTTATTATAAGTAGATTTCTTCCATGTTAATAGGTGCGTTTTATGATACAAAGGTAATAAAATATTTGTTTATCTAAAAATCAAAAGAAAAGCAGTTTTTATTATAAAAGTTGATATTTGTCAAGTTTCTTGTATAAGTACTTGTGATATGTATACTAGATTAAAAAGTATATATATAAATTAATCAAATTTGTAATAAGAAAAAAATATACTTGACAAGTGACTTGCACAAGTACTTGTGATTTATATTTTATATCAAAATATAAAGTTAAATTAGTTTCTTCTAGGAAAATTAATACTTGTTAAATTACTTGGATAAGTACTTGTGATCTCTATGCTACATTAAATATTGAACAAAGTAAAAAATTTGTAAGATGTACAAAATTCTAATATAAAACCTATACTTGACAAGTTACTTGGACAAATACTTGTATTATATTTTCTAGATTAAATATTTGTAAAATAAAATAAATTAAGTAAACATAATAGTTTCTACTGTCAAAATTAATAGTTGACATGTTACTTGGACAAATACTTGCGATATATTAAATTATAAATGTCAAATCAAAACAAATAAAGTAAAAATAACAGTTTTTACTTTCAAAATTGATAGTTGACAAGTTATTAGGTTTTATTTTCTATTTTGAGTTTAATTTAATTGTTGTTTACATCAATTTATGATCCTATAAGTTTAATTAGTTGTGCGCCATCTATTGGACAATATTGTAATAGAATTTAATTGGATAGAAACAATCGTCTCTCTATTTTAATGAGATTGCAAAGTTGCAAAGAAAATAAACTCAAAAGGGACTTCCCTACTATATCACGTGCATTTAAAATGAGGAACAGCTCTGAAGACAATAAAAGTGTAATTTATAGGGTTGGATACGGGACACGGAAAAATAAGTCTGTCCATGCCGTTAACAATTGAACATGCACATGGATGGGAGTAGATTAAGGGATCATTTTCGCAAATCTCTTCGCATATTTCATCTTACCAATGTGACAAATTGGAGATTTATGCGGGTCCACCTTTAATAATTTCCGGATTTTATACCGCTAAAGGAAAAAAAATGTGAGATGAAGGGGAGAACTGCAATAAAACTAAAAGACAGAGTGGTCGAAGGAAACCTTGTTATTCAGTTCTTGTATACTACGAATGCGTATTGTACATATGGAGATGGGTCACCAATCCGATCGGCGTTCGGTTGTGCTGCGTTGCATTAAATATTCATTCGACATCGTACAATTCTAATTGAGGTATATTCTACTTCAGTGGTTCCGTGTATGGGGAATCCACGGGCGGAACCGGAATTATCCTTGGGATAACTATGTTTATTGTTTCTTTCATACTGTTACCATCCGGTTGATAATTTCCTGAAACTAATGCAATAATTGTGTAATAATGTTAATTCAATTTCTACAACATTTATATATTGATAATATAAAGCTGCACCCACACTGTACATTACAAGTAACATATATATGTCAAACGTTAATTTCAATGTGAAAATGCCAAAATTGTTTAGTAAATGTCAATCAATTTCACTTTAACATATAATGAACAATAATTGTAAAATGATGATACAAAAAATTGAAACATTGACTTTAAAACTTTTTACTTTATTTCACATGATTTACATTTATTTCTGAAACTAAATAATAAATACGTTTACAAAGAAAAAAAATAAAGAAAAAAGAATCAAATTAATATTAAATTCGAAGATCAAAAGAAAACTTTCACCAAATTTAATCATAAATATAAAACAAATATATAACTTTCTTATAAAACATATATTGTTTTACTTGATTTAACGTTTGTAAGTAAATGTAAATATAATTAGAAAATTATTGTATTTTATGAAAAAAATCTATTAGTAGCAAAATAAATAATATATGCTAAAAATACTTACGTCTATTTCGGATGCATTTTTCTAGAATTATGATAGGAGATTCGAAGGTCAAGCATAGGGCAACTGCTAAGAGGAAGGTGATGGCAAAGTTATACCAAAATTCTAACAGCTGAAAAGGAAAGTATAAGAAAATACAATAGATTAAAAATTTGATTATCAGACTTACAAGTGAACCGTCTGAAAACCATGGTCTAATACGTTGGTTTAACTCACATACTGAAAGTTGCGAGTAATGGATTAAGAACATGCCATAAGTTAATCTACTGAGAACTTGGAAGATCGACATGGATAAAAACTTATTAATAAGACCTGTAAATTAATCTGTAATTCCATCAGCGTATTTCCATAACTTAATTTTCACTTACCTCCATTATCAGTTACACAAGCAAAGATCACCCATGAAAGGGCTACAGCCCAGGATGGTCTCAAAAAAGTTAGGTAGATTACATGTGTATATTTCTGATATTCCACAGTGTTCAGCAAATCCTTTCCTGCGAAAGTGCACGTGAAGAGTACAATGAGCGAGGCTATCCATAAAACCATATTTAATTTCTACAAAATATATTGATTTTACTTTGGTCAATTGATAATTAATGTAAAATTATATATTTGGTTTTCAGACCTTGTTGATCTTGAAGTTGTTTCCCGAACATTTGCGAAGGTATATGAAGTATCCAACGATCATTCCTATCAAGTAAGGTGGAGCTCTCGTGTGAGTGGTTACGTAATATTTGGTAATGCTTTCTGGTGGTCTGCAATTTTTATATTGATTTCAATGCATTTGGATTATGTTTAAGATCTTACCCTTTTCTCTCAATACCTCTGAGATTGTAGTAACAGGCGGTGTAAAAGATTCCACCCATGCTTACGGATGTAAGCAAAATTAATCCGCTTAATGCGTACTTGGGGTACTTTTTCAATGGTATGAGAATTATTGGGGATAATATGAAGAGTTGCATGTCTACGCATAGGTACCAAGTTTGTCCAATGCACTAGGTAAATAAACAGAAAAATTATTTCAAAATGCATTAATTAATCAATATTTTAATATATTTATACAAAAGTAATTGCACAAAAAATCAATGTAATTACTAAAAAATATATACATAGTTAGTATTTACAAGATTAGTGATAATCATGCCCATATTATTAATTGTATAGGGTTGTCCGGAAAGTTTAATTTCAAATTTCCCTAAATACCATTTCTGATGACTAAATTTATCAAAATTATTAAAAACAATGAAAATTATATAAATTTTGTATATAAATTATGATTAAAAACCCTACATTTCTATCGCCTTTAGAAAAAAGTTTGATTTAGGTACAGATGATTTGAGCCAGTTTAGAACTCCTTGAAAAATGAAAGAAAACAAAGTGTATTTTAGACTTTGATACTTTTGTATTACTGGAAAGCCAAAAATACGACTAAAACTATAACTTATATATATATATTCTGCTTACTAAGAAGTTTCTTTAGCTAAATGTACTGTAGAAAACTATAAGTTTAAAACTGGTGATTTCAGCTTTAAAGGTCTGCAAGTTATAGTGATGAAATCATGACATAAATAGAGAATAACCCACACTACACGACACGTGAATTAGAAAAAATGTTAACAATATCAAAAACTACCATTCAGTGTTTTTTGAAGAATACAATATATGAGTTTTGCAAAATATTGTTGACAAAAATCACGAAAATATGTTTGCACTTTCCGAATTTTAGTTGACATAAACCATTCACCTTGAGAAGTTTTTGGACAAAAAATTTTATAACTTTATATAATGTTTAAGTTGATAGATGAAAAAGGTGCATAGTTCGAATGGTGTATACATAAAGATGTGAATTTTTATGTCCGTGAAAAATCGACACGAACTTTCGTGACAACCCAATTTATATATTTGTCATCTTACTCCATATAGGTACTAATTTTACAAAAAAAATATTAGAAAACCAATTAGAAATGAATAATAATTAATACTTTTAAAATAAACTGTACTCACCTCTGACTGTGGATTTACGTAATTTTGTACATAAAGTAAAAGTGACCACCAATATTCCTTGCAGAATTTCATCATAAAAGGATAACTTTTTGGCCAAACAGGACCACTGCCCATATGTTTTATTAAGGTAACATGAATGAGTATTAAAGCAGCCACTGCTGGTGTTAACCTAACAAATATATAAAAATATAGAAACAAATACATACTTAATTAATAAATGAATTACAGATTAATTACCTAACGTATCTATGAATGTACATTGATAAAGTTGATTGATAAACGTTTCCTTTCATTTTGGACTTCATATAAACGTAAACCAGAACAATTCCACCAAGAAGGAAGAAAGTATCGACAGCAACAGTTGAACCGAGAATGGTCATACTTGAATAGTTTTTGTACCACTAAAAACGAATTTTTAAAATTATCACAATCGTTTCAAAAATGTTAGTACCTCATCCACGTCTTTCGTATTAGTAATACCGCCAAGAAGCTTAGTGTTATAACCGTGTGCCAATAGAATCCACATCATAGTCAAAGATCTAATACCATTTAAACAGTTCAAATGATCATTCCTATTTTCTGTTATTGAGAACAGTTTTCTACCATTCGTCCAAAGCGAGTACGCCAATAGGAAATCTGAGTAAGGTACTAAAAATAGAGAAAAATAATTACAAGAATTATAAAAATTTGTTATTTACGTAAATCCGTGTAATCCAAGAACAAATCATACAAAGTGGAGAATAAAACTATTAAAAGTATAACTGAAAAGAATAATCTAAAATTAATAAAATTATTAGTATTTTTGTTATTGTTAGTTTAAGTTTTGTTTGTTTGTTTACATAACAATGATATCTCCGGCTGTATATTCTGGCGCTGAGTCTTTCGTTTGGCAATATTCTTTTGTAAAAGTTGAATTTTCTACGTCTTCAATGTTGTTCATCATGAATTCGCTTAGATCAGAGCTGTTGCATTTGTCTGGAACGCAAATTCCGAATCGTACAGGAAACTCCTTAAAATGAAAATATCGAGAATGTTCAATTTATTCGCTGAAATATAAGATTGATTACTTTAATTTTGACGTCGCCAAGACAGTATTTTCCGTGGATTAGACCAAGGTTTTTGCTCTTGCCAACGATTCTTAAACACTCGTCGAAAGATCCGTAGTCCTGCATGTTTCCTTCTATAATTCCTGATGGCAGTTTTGACCATGAGTCCACCACTTTGTTAAGAATAAAAACAAATTAATTTTATGGAATGAAAAAAGAATAATTTCACTACAAGTTTATTTACAATTAAATAGTAAGATTATAATAAATTATCGTAAAAATATGTTGAATGAAATGTAAATATTTTTTATAAATTATTTAGACTAAATTTATCTGTAATTACTAATACTAGTAATAATATACTCAAATTATAGGCATTTCTAGGTGATGAAGGCATAAAAGTAAAAAAAGTACGTATATAAAAAAAAATATAAATCTATTTAATATTTACGAATCATTCATCGATAAAAGTTACGGATTATTGGGTATAGAAATCCAGCAAAGGGATCAAACAACCCTAAATTCGAATAAAGCCAATTCGAAAAGGAAACGTAACTTTGCTGAAAGTATCGACGATGATACATCTCAAATATTTGTAGAACTTTTCCGCAAATATTTTTTCATCACTTATAAAAGAGTGAATACTATTAGGTACATAATAATGAAAGACAAAATATATGAAAATACTCGCTTTTATTTTTTTTATTAATAATCAAATATTTCAATTATTATTTTCTTGAATTCATTTGATTAATTAAACTATTGATTAAAACATTTTTTTAATAATAAAAAGTATAACCTTTTTCACAAATTATCGAAAAAAATCAGAAATTGGAGAATGAATTCCAAAATAATTTATGGACAAGAAAGTTGTAATAATTAAAATTTTAATTAAATTATTTTCAATTTAATATATGTATGTGAAATTCAATATAAATATAGATTTAAAAATAAAATCTTAATTAGCTTCAATTAATTGTAACGATCATACCATATTGCTTTATTTAAAAGTTGGTAAACACTTTTTTCATTATTAGTTATAAGAATCTGTATATAAATACTTTTTACAGGTGAGTACACACTACATTATTTATGTTAATTATGCTTTTTCGTGTAACAAATATGATGATCATGTCTATCTGAACTAGAAAATCTTTAGTGTAACTCCAAATCTACTACAATCGTACTAAGTTCGAACACTCACTTTTCACAGCCCATAATTTCTTCTTTTCGAAAGCTGAATTCACCATTTCACATAGGTACTCGTTGCACGTCGGTGCATCTGGATCATTCGGTACGCATTCCTGGATATCCAAAGGCTTGAAGACAACATCTGAAGATGCTGCTGCAATTGCACAGAGAAATAAAAGTCTTAACCACATTGTTCGACGACGGCACGAGCCAAACTGAGCTGATAAACGAATCCAAACACTTTGATAAATTTTCTTCAATTGGACTAGAAAAGAGAAGTTGTTGGACGCATTATCTTCGCCGATTATTAACTATACATAACAGAAACTTTTTGTATATTTAAGATGACGTAGATGATCCTGACTCACATCATCTTTGTTACTTAATTTACGGAGCGAATGACTGTGGTTCTCATTGGAAGAATAGAGGAAATCAACAATTTTCTATACTTATTTTGCAATCAATATTACTTTTATTTATTTAATAATTTAAGTACTGAAAATGATTCAATTATAAATAATAAATTATATATTAATTAATACTCCAATTTTAATTTTGTTTCTGTGTAAAAAGTCCAAAAGTAATAAAATATTGTTTTTCTAAACAGTCCCATAAAAATCATCTAATTAAAATGTTACATTAAAAAAAATTCAGTTGCTTATATTAACTCAAATTTTATGTATAGAGTTAAAAAATTATTTTGTCCATTTGTCTACACATAGTTTTTATTTTCAGTGTGTTAACGAAGTGAACTTTATCCTAAATTGACCGTAGGAGTTGATTTATTAAAATTTACCAACGTACTTTTATTAGAATTGAAGGTCAATTAGATTTACGTTCCAATTTTGTAATTTAATTTTACTAATGTTTATTTTGACAGACATTCAGCAAATCTAATAAATCATTAATTAATAATTTATTTGTCAGAAAAAAATCTCTTTAATCTTTTTATTTACAGCAAATTCAATGATTTATGTTTTTGATAAGAAATATGTTGTTGTTGAAAGAGTGAAGGCATTCTTTAGACAATAATAACGTTTTATACTGTTTTATAATAAAAACAACTTTGTTTACTTGATTATTTGTATTTCTCTTCGTTCTTCTTCAATATTTACAATTACTTATATATTTATATAATTTTGGAGATGCTCGTATATATATTTATTAGAGTAGATCATGGCTTGTTACAATACAGTGTGATACATAGGATATATAAGATACATAAGATATAAATGTTACAAAGGTTTCTTACGGTATAATAGGTCCGAGGCCCGAGGGCCAACACAGGGAATACACACGTGATAGTACAGAGAAACTTACATGTTATTAAGACACAAGAGTAGCGGAAGCGAAGACGGAAGTAAGAGAAGAGAGCGGGTACAGATTGGAATACCAGCTGCGGGCTGGAGTGGGGCGCACCGTACCGGGCTTGTAGGTGACGTCATATTAGCGGGCTGGAGTGAGCACCACATAATAAACTTATTAATTACTCTAAAAGATCAGGTAAAATATATTTCCTGAATTAGTTTATTAATCAAAAAAGTTATCATAAAATTAATTTCAAAAGATGTCAATTTAAACATTTGTAAGTAGCAATGACAACAAAAATAAGACTAAAATTATGAAAAACTGACATTACAAATACAGATGTCACTGTATATATGGATGTACATAATTATCTTATGTCAATTTATATATACAAGTACCAATGACATAAAATTAGAGATGTCAAAAAGATGTCAATTTATATGCAAGTACATATTTATTATAAAAATTATGTCATTATGACATCTCTTTGACATTTCCATTTTTAAATGTCAAAAAGATGTCACTTTATATATGGAAATGAATAACGATTTATAAAAATACAGTAAAAATGATATATGTCAGAGTTATGTCAATTTTGATATGGAAATGAATAATTTTGTCAAAAAAAAAATACTACGTCAACGGGATGTCAATTTATGCATAGAAGACAAAAATAAGACTAAAATTAGAGATGTCAAAAAGATGTCACTTTATATAAGGAATTGCATAACTATGTAAACAAAATCATTTTAACATTATATTTGACAAATAAATTTGAACTTGTTCCTTTTACAATAAATAAAAGAATAACAAATCCGTAATGTTATCCGCATTTTCTATATCACTATTTATAAATTCATATAAAAACAAGATAAATCTTATGCATTATACATGTTTTTGTTATTCTAAGATCTGAGTTTTATTTGGTTGAAATGGAATATTCCATATAAATATTTGTGTTTTCCTTTTTTACATCACTTAGTTTGCATGCACGTTCCTTCTTCTCGCTGCTATCTGAACTTTATAAAAAGTTCATTGGGAATTCGTAGCATATCAATATCCGAACAGGAACTTCTCAAAATTAATTTAATAATACATAATAAAGCGGAAAGTCCTGAACACGTTTTCCGGCTTTCGCCAGAGTTTCCACAATGTCCCAATAATATCGGCACACTTTTAATCAGCTTTCAGAACGCAGATTTATTCATTTTTTTCCAAATAAGTTTTGTAAGCCTCTTCGATACATGTAACGTACCTGTCTTCAATGGAAATTTGATTGTTAAGTTTTACGTAACTTTTCTGTTGTTGTTTTCAGTTTAAGTTTTATTCGAGTATCGGTTTTCATCCGTCGGTTTCACAGATTTTCTTTGATACAAACAAAAAATCATTGGTAATTATTCAATTCAGTTGTTATAACTTATTGATAAATTCAGATAATACTTAATAAAAGAAATATATAACCTGAATATATCATATTAAAATTCTTAACTTTTAAATAAAATAAATAGCACAAATATGTTGTCTTTTTTCCTAATTTTATGTATTTTTATATTGAATTGAAAAACTCTAATAACTTATAATGTTTTATATTCTTTTAAACAACTAATTCAAAATTTTATTCTCTACTTAATAATGTTTTGTCTAATAAGTCATAGTTTGTGGAATCACTGAAAAACAACAAATTAATAAACAAAAATATAGAAATCAATTGATTTTTTTAAATCATTTAAAATATCTCAAGGATTTTCTCTGAAAATAATGATAAATAATTATAAATAATATTGAAATATTAAATATTTTTCTTCCTAATTCATGAAATAAACAAATATAAGAAATATTTTAATTCTCGACATTTAATTTAAAATTAAATTTGTTATATGTATACATAATACTCAATATAGTATGAATCATATGGAACTGTCTAAGCATTCAATCAAAACAAACGTAGGTGAGATAAGCAATTCTCCTATTGAAATAGAAATAAAATTTACTATTATCTAATCAAAATCAGAATTTACACGAGGAATAATTTTATTACAACTAAATTTTACGTATACACTAGTAATTAGAAATAATTGACTAATAGTAATTTGTCAGAAATCAAAATGTGGCATTGTTTATTAGATTTAGATTTTTGTAAAGTAATTGTAAAAATAAAATTAGTAATTATCTTTCATTGTTTTCTTACATAATTATTGTTTATAGAAATTTGTAAGTGCACTTTACATGTGCACTATTAATTAGAAATTAATTGACTAATAGTAATTTGTCAGAAATCAAAATGTGCGATTGTTTGTTTTTTTTTTCAAAGTAATTGTAAAAATAAAATTATTATGAATATAAGACAATATTATCTTCCATTGTTTTCTTACATAATTTTTGTTTTAAGAAATTTGCAAGTACACTTTGCATTTACACTATCAATTTGTCAGAAATAAAAACGTGACATTTATTATGTGATTTTTTAATTGTGTAATTATAAAAATTAATGAAAATAGAAAACAAAATTATTTTCTCATTTTTTCCTTTCATAACTGCTTTTTTATAGATTTTTTATACGTTTCATAATAAAAATGTCAAAAATGTTATTTTTTTTTAATTTAAACCGAACTTTTTAAGCCTTTATTATTTCTACAATAACTTTAAAATATTGGCTTCAATATCTATTTCACAAAAATATTTATAAATTAATTTTGAACAAACAATAAATGCAATGTATCAAATTTATCTACAACCTAACTTATTGTATATTTTTTCATTGGTAGTTTTACTTGTGAATTAAATAAATTAAAAAAGAATACATATAAATATATTTTTTAACCCCGAATCTTCAAATTTGTGAGATATTTCTGTTCATCGGTCGATAGCCAATTGATTATATATTTTAGTGTTTTTTTAGGATAATAAAGTATTGAATTTGGTACTACGTAAATAATTTATTATTTTATAAAAAACTATACATTGCAAAACGTCAGGGATGCTTGGCTATTTGAGACACCTCTTCGGATACCGGTTGCACCTTCTGAAGCACCACTGTTAATGTTTCCGTGATAGTTTCTGTACTTTTTGTCTCCAATTTTCCTGAAACTAATAAATTACATATTAGTAAAATTGTTAATATATAAATTTATATTGAAAGGCTTAAATTTAGTAATCTTATGTTAAGTCTTATTAAGTAAAGTCATCTACAGCTAACTTATATTAAGTCGTATGTTAAGTATACTTAAGTTAAGTTACTTATATTAAATCATCTTAAGTTAAGTTTGCTTAAATTAAGTCATCTTAAGTTAAGTTATCTTAAATTAAGTCATCTTAAGTTAAGTTTGCTTAAATTAAGTCATTTTAAGTTAAGTTTAATTATATTAAGTTAAGTTTACTTATATTAAGTCATCTTAAGTTAAGTTTACTTATATTAAGTATGCTTAAATTAAGTCATCTTAAGTTAAGTTTGCTTAAATTAAGTCATCTTAAGTTAAGTTTGCTTAAATTAAGTCATCTTAAGTTAAGTATGCTTAAATTAAGTCAACATAAGTTAAGTTTACTTTAATCATGTCCAATTGAGTTTACTTAATCCCTTATTCCCTAAATACAATACCAGTATTTACTTACTCATTTTCTTAATGCATTTTTCTAATGTAATAATAGGAGACTCAAAGGACAAAGTCAGAATTGTAGCTAAGCATAGTGTGATTGAGTAATTGGACCAGAATTCAGTCATCTGAAATTACATAATTTCCAATAAATAAGTTTATAAAAAGAAACCTTAAATAAAAGTTACCACAAGACTATGTGAAACGCGTGTTGGTGATCTTTGTGATAACACTACAACCGTTATGTAAGTGTAATGCACTAAATACATGCTGTAGGTGAGTCTGCTTAAGATTTGGAAGATCGGCATGGATAAGAATGTATTCACAGGGCCTGCAAAGTGCGTTAGACGTGTTATGTTTGTTCATTCTCTATAGATTTTGCTTTTGATGTGGCTTACGAGCTTTGATTACTTACCCCCGTAACCTGTTACGCATGCAAATATGATCCAAGATAGGGCCAAAGCCCAAGAGGGCCTATGGAACGTCAGGTAAGCAGAGTGCACGTTCTTGTCGTACACCTCGGCATTCAATAAATCCGATCCTAAGAACGTGCAGAGACACAGCACTGTCAGTGAGGCAACCCAGAGGATTATGTTTAGTGTCTGTAATTTATTTAAAATGTTATTTAAATTTATTATTCTATATTGGATTTGAATTAAAATATTTGCTAGGATTTGAAATGTTTGTATGAATTCAAATATGAAAGGATAAAATTGTTTGAATGGGTCGAAATAGATACGTATTTGGATATATTTAATAATGTTGATTGTTGCAAATATTTGGATAGTTGTTAAAAAAAAATGAATGGATCAAATTTTATGGAAATATTTTTGATGAATTGAAGCATTTGTGAATTAAGATTTGAGTGGATTGAAAGAGTTTAAAGATTTATCATAGATTGAATTATTTAGTAATGGAAAGATTTGAATCGATGGAAATATTTGACAAGATTTGGATAGATTAAAACATCTATTAATTGAAAGATTTTTATCCATAGAAATAATTGAATATTGATGAATGTGGATAATGAATGGAAAGACTTCAATGAAATGAAACATGTGTTAATGGAAATATTTGGAAAAAGTTTGAAATATTTGCGAATCAAGCGATATTTAAAGATGAAGGATGGAGAGTTTGATTGAAACATTTATATGTGAAAATATTTGAATGGATTGAATTACTTGAATTGGAAATGCAGAAACATACCCTATTTATTTTAAATGACGAGTAAACGAATTTGCATTTGTAAATGTAATATCCAAGCAACATTCCGATCAGGTATGGTGGAGCTCTGGTATGTGTCGTGACGTAATATTTGGTCAAAATATCACCAATTCTGCAAAATAATATGTTTAGTTTAAGAGTTTAATTGAGTAATTTATATAGAATTATACCCGCTCAAGTCCAAAGCACGCAGATTATAGTGGTAACTTATATAAAATATTCCAGCCATGCTTATTCCTATTAAGCCTACTAAAGTTGCCACAGTTGGTTTTGGATGTCTCTTCATTGGAATCAGAATTATAGGTGATAGTAGAAATAGTTGCATGTCGACGGATAGATACCAACTTTGCCCTAGGCACTGAAACATTCATGAAAATATACTAAATAATTGGAAGAAATTATCAATTATAGCATTAATCAAACCAATACAAACAATAGAGAAAAATTGAAGACAAAAATTTGTTTATTTCTTAAAGATTACAAAAAAAATAGACAAATTTCATACAAAAAATACCTAAATTTGTATAAAATTACAATGATATACATTTTATAGATTAACAGTTGAAATTGCATTTTCTATTCAGAAAATAATTATTTTATATAGTTATTTTGTAATATGATTGTAACGCCATCTATTGATTAACCTTTAAAATTTATTGTTTACTCATCTTCGTTAAGATATATTACTCCGAATTAATTGTAAGTACATGAAATATTGTAATAGTTAGCTAATAGCATTAAATTTTGAAGTAGTATAGAGGCAGAGAGATCTAACATGATTGAGTCTGAGNNNNAAGTATAAATCCGAGGCCAAAACGGCCCAGAGCCCATATGTTTCAAAAACGTGGTATGAACTATGAGAATTGCCGTCAAAGATGGTGTTAATCTAAAAAAAATGTAAGATTAAATAATGGATTTATGAAGAATTTTGTTGTTATACCTGATGTATCTATGAAGGTACATTAATAGAGTCTTCAATATAATATTCCCGGTAATTGGAGTTTTCATATAAACGTACACTAGAACTACTCCACTCAACAAGAAGAAGGAATCTACAGAAACAGTTGCACTTGCTATATACATGGTGGATGGTTCATTGTACCACTAAAAAACATATCAAAATAAAATCAATGATATAAAGAAATTTTATGTTAAAGTTTTACAGTGTTTACAAACGCCGCATTGCTGATTCCACCTAGACTTTTAGTACTGTATCCATGTCCAAGGATAATCCACATCATGCTGATAGTCCTGATCCCAGCCAAGCAATCCAAATGATCGTCATTCTTGTTTTTATGAACGGCGAAGAGTTTCTTCCAGTTCGTCCAAACGGAGTAAGCCAAAAGAATTTCGTACTTTGGCACTTGAATATAATTTAAAAACATTTGCGATGATTTTTATAACTGCACACTTACCTAATCCAAAATGAACGTGCACCAAGTCGTAGATTGTTGAGACAATGATGAGAAATTGAATAAAAGCGAAAAATGCACTGAAATTAAATTTAGTTTTGAGTGGATTTTGAATCTTTTTTGATTTTACTACTTACATTGCTAAGTAGTCACCTAGGGTGTAATCAGGTTGGGTTTCGATGCTCTGGCAAAAATCGTCAGTAAATTGGACATCATCAACACCTTTTACGTATTTCTTCACAAAAGGACTCAAATTGTCTGCACTGCATTTATGTGGTACGCATACTGCAAAGCTCAGTGGAATATTCTAAACATAAATATTTCATTTTTTTATGTACTTAACATATTAATTTTTAATATACATTCGACATAACGTACATTATTTTTCTACACATGTTCGCATTAACGTACAAATATTCGCTCTAACGTACAATTACGTTAGATGAATACGGAACATATCAATGTTGAGTTTTTTATTGTCATGTATTTATATAACAAAACAAGTTTCAATTAACGTACATTCACTTTGTATGTTAACACAATATTACTCATTTATATGTCAGTCTAAGTGTCAATTATTAACGTGTAAGTTCATATAAACGAAGTGTACGTTAATTCGAATGAAGAGATAGTAACAATTGTATACACATTAAGTACGTTAACCGAACGTTTTTTTATATATTATTTTATTAAAAAAATACATTTTATGTAATATATTTTATTATAAACCGCAACACTTATGCCACTTTTATATATAAAGTGTAAAATGAAATTTTTATGTATACAAAAATATAAAATACTCACTTGTACCGTGACCTTTCCCAAGCAATATTTTCCGTAAATTGCACCCAAACGTTCGCTCTGTCCTTCGATCTCAACGCATTCGTCGAAAGCTCCGAGGCCTTGCAAGTTCCCATCCAAAATACCGGGTGGAATCTTGGACATTGAATCCAGCACTGTCGAATGGAATTCGGGACATTAGATGCAAAACCTTTAAGAATGTTTGCAAACTCACTTTTTAAAGCCCACGTACTATTCTGTTGAAAGGACGTGAATAGTTCACACATGTAATCGTCGCAAGTGGGGTCGTTCGAATCCTTTGGTGGTGGACATACCAAAGATGTGACTCCATCCCCTATCGCTATTGTCAGTATTGTAAAGATGAACACATTTTTTATCCACATTTTTAGTCTTTAGTCTACTTAAATTTCTGAAATAGAAGAAGAAATATTATAAGTTTAACAAAAAAAATAGAATACAATTTTTGAAAAATCACAAAATTTTGATATTATTAGTTACATATTTTAAATACTTATTGAAATTTTCTAAATTCAATTCAATAATAATTTGATGTTATATAAGTAAATACAAGAATTTTGTCAATGGAAATAAATTATTCATAAGTATTAGTGATATTTTGTTCTTTATTCCAAAAGACTAATAAAATAAGAAAGTTTGGTTGTGCTACGATTGGGCAAAATACATTAAAGTCAATAGCTCGGAATTGGCTCTGATTTAGACGTTCTATGCTTACTTGATTAGTTTTTATTACTATCGAATAAAGGAGTGCCCTACGGACGTAGATAAACCTTTTTCATTACAGAACAAGCTTATATAATTGTTACCAATACTATTAGTAGCTTTAACAAATCAGAAACAAAAATCATAATAAATACATCATGAAAATTATAATTAAACAAAGAATATTTGTCACCCATTTAAGTGTTATTTCATAAAGCTTTGTTTAACTTTTATATAGAGTGAAACGTAAATCTCGGTTTTCTTCATCATTTTATATATAAAAATATACAAAATAAACAATTTATGAGAATCTCCAATATTTTCATTGGTTTATAACTCATTTAAGTGTCAATTTCATAATACTTTGTATAACTTATATAAACAGTGAAACATCATGAAAAATCATGCTTTTATTCATCATTTTATACGTGAAATCTTTTTTTTTTTTTTGAGAATCGCCAATATATTCTTTGGTTAATAACTAATAATCCTTTGTCAATCTCAAAATAAACAATTTATGAGAATCTCCAATATTTTCTTTGGTTTATAACTCATTTAAGTGTCAATTTCATAATATTTTGTATAACTTATATAAACAGTAAAACATCATGAAAAATTATGCTTTTCTTCATCATTTTATATGTGAAATCATATTTTTTTTGAGAATCGCCAATATATTCTTTGGTTTATAACTCATAATCTTTTGTCAATCTCAAAATAAACAATTTATGAGAATCTCCAATATTTTCTATAACTCATTTAAGTGTCAATTTCATAATACTTTGATAACTTATATAAACAGTGAAACATCATGAAAAATCATGCTTTTATTCATCATTTTATAAGTGAAGTCATATTTTTTTTTGAGAATCGCCGATATATTCTTTGGTTTATAACTCATAATCCTTTGTCAATCTCAAAATAAACAATTTATGAGAATCTCCAATATTTTCTTTTCTTTATAACTCATTTAAGTGTCAATTTCATAATACTTTGTATAACTAATATAAATAGTAAAATATTATGAAAAATCATGCTTTTGTTCATCATTTTATATGTGAAAACATATTTTTTTTGAGAATCGCCAATATATTCTTTGGTTAATAACTCATAATCCTTTGTCAATCTCAAAATAAATAATTTATGAGAATCTCCAATATTTTCTTTGGTTTATAACTCATTTAAGTGTCAATTTCATAATACTTTGTATAACTTATATAAACAGTGAAACATCATTTAAAATCATGCTTTTCTTCATCATTTTATAAGTAAAATCATTTTTTTTTGAGAATCGCCAATATAGTCTCTGGTTTATAACTCATAATTCTTTGTCAATCTCATAATACTTTGTATAACTTATATAAACAGTAAAACATCATGAAAATCATGCTTTTCTTCATCATTTTATGAGTGAAATCAATTTTTTTTTGAGAATCTCATATTTTTTTCATACTAAATACATAATTTCTAAACATATTTCATTGACCAAAATCCTTTAGTCTATATTAATTAGTTTCGTTAAATTCAGATTAATATAACAAAAAAATATCTTTTTCTTCTAGTAATATTACAAAAATTTGTATATTTGATTAAGAGTATTTACATTAAGACTCTAGAAATGCCAATTTTATCAGTTAGTAACTGTTCGTGTCTCGGAAATGCAATCGGAAACTTCCACTTCCTAACTAATTTTGTAATTAAGATCGGTGTGGAAAGTTTTGGTGGTTTCATCTAAATACATTTGTGGAATCTATTAATTCCGACTTCTCGTCTTTCCTCTCTTCACCAAAACTCACAAAGATTTGCAAATGATTATACACATTTGAAATATATTCAAATTACATTCGTACTGAATAAGTTGATTTATATCAGTACTAGGATACATTTAGGAAGTAATAAGTTTCTTGAACTGACTTACTTTATTCTGCAATTACATAATTGCAAATCCTATAAAATCAAGGTAAAAATTTAATTAAAACAATTATAATTATATTAATATTTTATGGAAAATATAAATGGACCAGAAAATTAATTTATTATGATTAGAAAGTGTTACTGAATTGTTAATTTATTATTATATTTTTGCAGTGTTTCATTAGTTTTAAATTTTAGAGAAGTTTTGTCAAAAAAAACGAATTTAATTTTAACCCTCTGTTACTCCGTTAAATATAATGATAATAATTATTTAGTAAGTTTAAGAAAAATTAAATAAAGTAATATTTTTTTCTTATTTATTATCTTTATTTTTTATCTACAGTAGTTATATCGTAAAGTAGTTTTGATATTTAATACTTTAAGTAAGTTTGTAACGAAGAATTATAGGTTCTTGAAACTTGTGGTTGGTTAATGGTAAAGTAAATGAAAGGAACAGTAAATCAAGGGTGGAAATCTCTTAAATCAATGACCAGAAAACTTTTGTCCATTTGCCAAATTAACGAGTTGTAAAAGCCACAAAAGTATATTTATATACTGTTTCATTAACTATTTTACGAAAATCAATCATTTATATTTTTACAATAAAATTATATTAATTAATTATTATGAAATTTGATTGCTATTGGTTTTATATTTAGTATGATTGCTGAAATCTTTGAAAACCTATAAAAATTTCATAAAAACTAATGTAGTAAGTTTTGTGGTAAAAGCTCCTTGAAACCTAATACGGAACCGAAGTTTGTTGTAACTTCAAGGAATTTTTGTTGTGTGCCTTCAATGATGTGCTCTTTAGTTTCAAAAAGTCTAATAAAGCCCTAATAATATACTTTAATGAAGATATTACATGTATGAAATTGATAACCATAATTGCTGTAAAGTAAAAAAATGTAAATTTTTAATTTCTGTAGTACCGTTTATCTGACTGATTTTATGTAATATTATTTTATGATTTATTTTAAGTTAATTAAATAATGCACAATTTGTAGAATATATAAAAAAACAATTATTAGTCGAAAGTTTGTATTCAACATATATACAAAATTGTCGAAGTTATCGAATAATTACATAAACTGTACAGATGTATAAAGAAAACTAGTAAGGAAGTTTCGAAATTTTGTTCGAGAACCGAATTCAATTTTCAGAATTCGGTTCTCGAATTTTGTTTGAGATTTTAATTACTACTAAATATCTTATCGAATAATTATTATATAAAACGTAAAGAAATGAAAAGCAACAAAAAATAAAGTTTCTATATTTTGTTCGAAAACCGAATTTTGATAATTATTATGTATTTTATTCGGAATTTTAATTTACAATGAATAAATTAACTAATAATTATATAAATCATATAAATCGTAAAGACATGAAAAACACGAAAAAAGAAAGTTTCTCAATGTTGTTCGAGACCCGAATTTTGAAAATTATTGTGTATCTTATTCGAGAACTGAATTATTCGAAATATTAAAAGATCTTTTCAATTACGTGTAAACATGAATGATAAAGTGCATCGCCTTTTATTAATTAAGTTTGCAAAATTATTGCACCATAAAATATCAAATTTCGTGTTTGCTTGGTACCAAAGAGAGAGTAATTTAATTTCCAATTAAATTGTGTGCCGAACGGAAAATTACACAGCAGAAGAAAAAAACAGACACATACAAATTGGAGGAGCAAGGAAATGGAATGGTTTGTTTACTCCCTCTTTCCAGTCGCACAATTTTTTTCCCGTCACAGTCCAGCTTTATTCCACCCCTTCAGGTTGCATTTTTCGCACTCCCTTCAAACTGTACCATTCCTGCTCTTTCTCTTTTTCTCGTTTTTTTTTCGACAGTCTACAATCTGGCTGTGTGCCCCATCCAATAAAGTTGACTTTTATATCAGACTGGTAACATATTTCGCAATGCATCCGAACATAAAACGCGTATTCGATCACACGGAATATTGTATTGGAGGAATATTAAAAGGAAATAGCCGGACACCTGGTCACAAGGATTGCTTTCTACTTCTTTTTTTTGTTTCATTTTGTGCGGCACGCGTTTTGGGATGGAAGTTGACTTTTTCGTGTGTTTTTTTTTGTGTTCTGTTTTCCTGCGATCCTGGCGGATATGGATGGCGCAGGATCGTTGGATAGGGACGCGCGTCCTCCTCTCGCATCCAGCTTTTGCAGAGTTTAGTTTAGTAAGCGCGTCGGTTCTGGAGCTTACGGTCCAAGTGCGGATGCTGAGGATACTACTTCTACCTAAGGTCGTGATCCTTATATTCGTAGTGCGCGCGTATTAGTGTTTGAACTTTCCACACAAAAGTTTTCACACTTTAATTGGATTTCAATTTAGGTTCGTTTACCCCAACTGTTTTACCTCTTGACTCATATCTATGTTGCATGAACTATTATAGAGAAAAAGTCTAATTAAACAAAAAGTTTTTCTTAAGAAAATACTTCAATTTATTTATTTCATGAACTTTCAAACAAAAAATTTTAATTAAATATTTAATCTTCACAAGAAAATATATCAATTTCTTTCATCAAATCAATATTAAAATTTAAATAATTTATAGCAAATTACTTTCAATATTTCTTTACAAAAAAATTACATACAATTTCAAAACTGGAGTTGTTTTATATGTAGAAATATTACATTTTTGTTGCAAAAATTATATTAAATTATGGCGAATTATTTTCCTTATCCATTATAAAATTATATAAAAATTCAAAGGTAAAAAAAAATAATCACCAGACAAATTAGTTTTGAAATT